GGTGGGCTGGAGTGTGAAGCAGCAGGGGCAGGGAGGGGCTGGGATGTGTGGAGCAGGACGCGAGGGGAGGGTGGGGCTGGAGGTGTGAAGGAGCAGGGGGAGGCAGGGGCTGGAAGTGTGAAGCAGCAGGGGGAGGGCAGGGGCTGCAGGTGTGAAGCAGCAGGGGGAGGGTGGGGCTGGAGGTGTGAAGCAGCAGGGGAGGGAGGGGTTGCAGGTGTGAAGCAGCGGGGGAAGGGCAGGGGCTGGAGGTGTGAAGCAGCAGGGGGAGGGCAGGGGCTGCAGGTGTGAAGAAGCAGGGGGAGGGCGGGGCTACAGGTATGAAGCAGCAGGGGAAGAGCGGGGCTGGAGGTGTGAAGCAGCAGGGGGAGGGCGGGGCTGGAGGTGTGAAGAAGCAGGGGGAGGGGGGGGCTGGAGGTGTGAAGCAGCAGGGGGAGGGCAGGGCTGGAGGTGTGAAGCAGCAGGGGAGTGGGGCTGTGGGTGTGAAGCACAGCAGGGGAGGGTTGGGGCTGCAGGTGTGAAGCAGCAGGGGAGGGTGGGGCTGGAGGTGTGAAGCAGCAGGGGGAGGGCAGGGCTGGAGGTGTGAAGCAGCAGGGGGAGGGCGGGGCTGCTGATTACAACTCTGCAGGGACCAGAGGGATGATAGGGGCCCATCTACAGACACGAGGTCTGAGGCAGCTCTGCTTGGGGAGAAGGACACAGGTGTCAGGTGGCATGAGGTCTTCAGAGGGAAAGGAGGCACTGTCGCTAATTTCAGGAGTTTATTACAAGTTAGCAGGAGCAGTAAGCAGAGATCTCAGACTGGCAGGGCTCTGCACTCAGGAAGAGAGCGTGCTCCCCAGGCAGGGGGTGGCCCCACGGGTGTCTCCCTAGGACAGTGGCCTGAGGGAAGGAGCGCCCTGGCAGGAGAGTGGTGAGGACTCAGGCAAGAACAGGAGGCCTTGAGTTTCCCCTCCTGGCAAGGCAGAAACTGCCCTGGACTCTGGGTGCAGGCCATCCTGCTCCCCCCCCCCAGACAAATCCTGGAGCTGAAAAATACAATGGATGAAATGAAAAATGGAATAGAGAGCTTTGACAGTCTCAAAAAACAGAAGAAAGAATCTGTGAACTTGAAGATGTATCTTTTTAATTTATTCAGTAAGAAGAGGGAAAAAAAGAATGAAATAAAGAATGCCTGTGATACTAAGTGACCAAACACATGCATTATGGAAATGTCAGAAGAAAAAAGTGAGAGAGAGAGAGCTTATTTAAAGAAATATGGCTGAAAACTTTCCAAATTTTGGGAGGGATATGCACATCCAGACCCATGCAGCTCAAAAATCCCAGTGTAGGTTCAACCCAAAGAAATCTTCACCAAGACACGTTATAGTCACATTATCAAGTCAAAGACAGAAGTTTGAAGGCAACAACAGAGAAGGGACATGTCACGCACCAGGGTCTCTCCTTAGACGAGCAGCAGACTTCTCAGCAGAAACCTGTGGGCCAGGAGAGGATGAGCCAGAGGAAATGGGATGATATTTTCAAAGTGCTGAAAGGAAAAAAGCCCTGCTGACCAAGAACACTTTCTCTGGCAAATCCGTCCTTCAGAAAGGCTTCCCCACCAAAAACAACCTGAGGGAGCTTGTTACCACTAGACCTGCTGTCCTAGTGCGTTTGCATTGGCAAAAGGAAAGGAGCACCCGGGGCTGGGTAATTTGTAAAGACAAGAGGTTTATTTGTCTCCGTGTTCTACAGGCTGTAGAAGATGCAAGGGGCCAGCTCCTGCCTCCACTCACAGCAGTGGGGCCAGGGGAGCCAGTGTGCAAAGATCACACGGCAAGAGAATGGGCAAGGGTGGGGCAGACTCTTAAACAACCCGTTCTGGGAATCCGTGCAGTGAGAATCCACCACCATGGGGACAGCGCCAAGCCATTCATGAGGGACCCGCCCCCTGACCCAAGCTCCTCCCATTAGGCCCCACCTCCAACATCGGGGGTCAAATTTCAACATAAGGTTTGGAGGCTCAAACAAACCAAACTATAGCACTTACCTTATAAGAAACACTAAAGGGAGCTCTTCGGTGTAAACAAAAGATACTAATTACTAGTATGAAACATATGAAAAGATCAAATTTATTGGTAAACATAAATGTATAGTCCAATTCAAATACTCTAATGACGGTGTGTAAATCTTCTTTAACTCTAGTATAAAGGTTAAAGACAAAAATATTAAAAATAACTATAGCCACTGTATTTTCTTAATGGATACATTATAACAAAAATTGACACTGTGTAAATTATGATAGAAAAAATAAATAAATAAAAAAAGAAATAATTAAACAAAAAATTTAAAAATATTAATACATGCCTCAAAAGTGAAAAAAAAATTAACATCAAATGCAGATGGGAAAGCAAAGTGTAGTTTTTTTGCCTATGATTGAAGGTGAGCTTCTGTCAGTTTGACGTAGACTTGGGTCGTCATAAGCTGTTTTCTGTAAGGCTCACAGCAACCACGAAGTGGAGACCCACAGTAGATGCTCACAGGGGAGAGAGACAGGAATGAAAATGCACCACCAATGCAGAAAATTATAAAATCATGCAGGCAGAAAGCAAGAGAAGAGCAAATGAAAAAGGGACTACGAAACAGTCAGTAAACATCAACACGCTGGCATTAGTACGTTCTTATCAATGATTAAAGGTAAATGATTTAAATTTCCTCATTAAAACACAGAGAGCGGCTGAATGGATAAACAAAACAAGCTGCCCTCGAGTTACCTTCAAGGATACACACAGGCTGGGAAAACCTGCCGTGCACACGGTGAACAGCGGGAGACAAAGGTCATTATGTAACGATAAAGGGCCAATTCATCAGAAGATATAACGGCAGTAACTCTGTATCCACCCAGCTTTAGACCACCTACATATGTGAGTAAATATTAACAGAACTGGAAGGAGAAATGGCAACTCTATTATAGTAGGGGGGCTTTAATACCCTATTTTCTATCAGCCAGACAGAAAATCAATCAGGAAGCAATACTTCAGACCAAAGTGACCCTAACAGACATGTACAGAAGATTCCATCCACCTGCTCATATTCGTATGTGGATTTTCTCGCCCGCAGCTTCCCTGAATTAGTTTATTTGTTCCAGCATTTTTTTGGCAGAATCTTAAGGACCCTTAGAATCTATAAGATCATGTCATCTGCAAATAGAAAATTGAACTTCTTTCTTTCTCACCTGGATGCTTTTCATCTCTTCTCCATGCCCGGCGGCTCCGGCTGGGACCTCTAGGACTGTGCGGGGCAGGAGTGCTGAGGGGAGGGACCTTGCCTGGTAGCTGACCTTGGAAGAAACACGTTAAACTTTTCCCTGGTGAGTACAACGTTAGCTGTGTGTTTGTCGTATATGTGACACACACACACACACACACACACGCACATAACACCAGCCATGTGGAGCCGTGGATGGGTTAATCGTGGTGTCACTTCACAAGGCATATGCCTGTCAGACGTCACATCATGCGCCCTCCTAAACTTATTGAAATACTGAACTCATTCACATCTATGTATTAACCATGTTGCCCATGAAAGTGACACCATCGAACCTTCTCAGGGAAGAACATAGCCAGAGTATTTTCTCCAGTCGAAGTCGGAGCCTCACTGTCCTCCTTTCTGGAGTCTCTGTATGACCCGTGTAAGGCACGTGTGTGTCCCTGGGGCGAGAGTTGCTCGTGAAACCCACCCAGGGCTCCTGACACCCTGGGTGGCAACCACCTCCCTGGTTTCCCCACGCCCCATCACCGTGGCTCAGTTCGGCCAGCGCCGGAATCGGGCTAGTCTTATGCCTGGGGGAGAATCACACCATGCTGTGATTGTGGATCTGCCTTCAGACGCAGCCTGAACGGAGGAAGAAAAGGGAAAAGGAATAGATCTGCGTAGGAGCTGTGGGTTCCAAGGGGAAGGTCTACTTCTCTTGAATTGGAAGTTAGAAAACTGCCAAGGAGAAGTAATGTTCTCGGATGGCTTTGGACGTGGATGTCCCCACAGACTCAGGTGGCTTTGCTGAGGAGTAGCCTGGGCGGCTTGGAAACTGCCTGAACTCCCGTCAGAACAAGCCCGGTGTTGCGCGGCTCCCAGGTCTTCTACGGCCTGCCAAGCCTGCCCTTCCAGGCTCTCCCTGGACAGGCATCCCTTCTCGGGAGCCGTGTGGCCGCCTTCATCGTGTGGCATTGTGCTCTGTGGTCTCTGTAGGGGCTGTGGTGCCTGGGGAGCTCCCCACTACCCTGCAAGCCTGTCTCAGTCTCCTAACTCCCTGCCGGGCCGGACGTCCCTCCTCCATGTTCCCAGAGCTCTCTAAGCACAGCCCTGGCCGTGCCCCGCCTGACCAGGGTCTTCCAGGCCTTCCTTACTCGTCTTGTGTCCCCACGAGGGCCCCAACACGCGTGTGCTCCAGCTACTACACAGACACTGGCAGGCACAGAAATGTCCTGTGCCCGTTCGTATGTTGCAGACTCCTGAGGGCAGTTTTTCGTTCGGTCTGGAAAGTTCCATTTGAAAGAGGAGTGTACGTGGTGTTCGGTGGTGGCTCATCTTCTGGTCTGGATTTGTGCAGTCCCGGGGCATCACGCTGACGGAGCGCTGAGCAGGGCGGATGGGCTGGAAGAAGCCACGCAGACAGCCGTGGCTCATGGGACTGCGGCAAAGGAGCGTCCTCGAGTTGCCCACAGAACTCATGCCTGGGTGAGCGGCTGGGTGGCCGTGCAGAGCCGCAGTCCCCGGCTGCTCAGCTGGGGTGCAGGGCTTGAGGGCCCGCGAGGCCCCTTGGCGTTGCGATGCTTGTGCTCGGCTTTGCGAGGGGCGTGGCGAGGGACCCGTCCTGGGATGCCGACAGCGTTAGTCTGAGCTTGCAGCTCCTGCCCCTGCACCCAGCGTGCTCTCTAGATCCCATCCTCGGGATCCGGACCCAACCCCCCAGCGCTCTGTGACCTGCTCCTCGGAGTGTGGGCAGAGGACCGCCAGCGTCACTGGGCCCCTGTCAGAGGGTGAACTCTTGACCCCACCCGGGACCTGCCACGTGGGAGCCTGCAGGTGACAACACCGGGTGGGCTGCGTGCAGGTATCACCCGAGGACGGTTACGGGAGAGCTTCCTCCCGTCCGTCACTCGCCTACTCGCGCCCGGTCTTTGCTGCTCTTGGTGCCGTGTTTGGATCCGAAGCTGGATTTGGGTCAGAATGATCATGTGGGCTTTGGTCTGCGGGGGAGACCGAGTTCCTTCCGTTGCAGGGGGAGCCGGGAGGAGCGGACAGGGAGGGCAGTGTCGGGAGAGGGAAAGGCTCTGAGCCTCCAGATATCGCTGTGCGACTGCTGGAGTGTGTGTTTGTGAGTGTGAGTGTGCGCGTGTGTGAGTGTGCGCATGTGCGAGCATGTCTGAAATGTGTCTGTGCATGTGTGAGTACGTGCCCACGAGAGTGCACACACGTGTGGGTGTGTATGAGTGTGCAAACACGAATGTGTACAGTGTGCTGACATGTGACTGCATGTTCGAGTGTGTAAGAGTGTGTGCATGCACTTGTGAGTGTGAGCATGCCTGAAACGTGTCTGTGCATGTGTGAGTGCATCTGAGTTTGTGTGTGTGAGGGTCTGCATGTGTGAGTACGTGTCCACACGAGTGCACACGCATGTGAGTGTGTATGAGTGTGCAAACACGAATGTGTACAGTGTGCTGACATGTGACTGCATGTTCGAGTGTGCAAGAGTGTGTGCGTGCCCTTGTGAGTGTGAGCATGTGTGAGTGTGCACTGCGTGATCATGTACAAGTAGGTGTGTACATGCGTGAGTGTGCAGTGTGAGCACTGTGAGTTTGGGCGCGCAGGAGTGTGTGTTTGTGTGAGTGAGCACACGTGGCTGTGTGTATGAGTGCGCGCTGTGCGAGTGTGGAAGGGTGCATGTGTGTGCGAGAGTCCGTGTGCAGCTGCGTGTGTGCGTGAGAGTGGCCTGGGGTGAGGGTGGGGCTGGGGTCAGCGACAACGGTGGTGGCCATTTCTGGAGGATGGCCGCCAGCCGCTACACAGCCAGCCCGTGGCGCGAGTCTCTGGCTCCTCCTCCCGGCGGTGGGAGGCCGCGTGGGCGGGGAGGGGCGCTGGCGCCGGAGCGGCCTTCCCCTGGGGCAGTCACGCGCCCGGCTGCCCGAATTCCCTGTGCCCCAGCAGGGGCGCTCGCGGGGGCCAGATACAGTGCCCCGTGGAGACCGCAGCTCAGGGCGCTCCTGCCGCCCGAGCCGCAGTGGGTGTGAGCCGTGACCGTTGGGGCCTTGCGGCGGCCCTCGAGGGGTTACTGTTGTCGCCTTTAGCTTGCCGGTGAGGAAAACAGGCTCAGAGAGTTCAAGGGGCTTACCCAAAGTCACACAGCAAGAACGGGGAGGAGTGGGGACTGGGACTCAGGCTGGCCCCAGAGCTGCGGTCTTCCCGTGCCGCTCTGTGGGGGTCCGTGTCTGCGCCTGCGTCTACGAAGTCTATAGCGAAGTCCGCGCCTACGTCTACACCTGTGACTGTACCTGAGTCCATGTCCGTGTCTGAGTCCGTGTCCATGTCTGTGTCTGTCTAGCCCTATGTTTAGTCTGTGTCCGTGTCTGTGTCTGTCTAGCCCTATGTTTAGTCCGTGTCCGTGTCCCTGTCTGTGTCTGTCTAACCCTATGTTTAGTCCGTGTCGGTATCCATGTCTAAGTCCATGTGTGTGTCTGTCTAGCCCTATGCTAACTCCCTCTCCGTGCCTGTGTCTCCCGCACATCCGTGTGTGCCTGCCCACACCCGCGTCGCCTACACGCGTGTCTCCGCTTCTCTCCGTGACCACCAGCAGCAGCAGCGGAACTGCCTGCCTCTCTCTGCCCCACGGCCCTGAGACCGCGCCCCTGTGCTTTCCCCTGCCCTGCGTGCGGGCCCCTTCTTTTGTCCCTGCCTCAGGGTCCTCACGAGTGACCGCAGGGGCTGGTCGCTGGGCCGCCAAGGGCAATAGGGCGAGGGACGCCGAGCCCGAGCTGGAGACTGTCGCCGGGCTTTCTGCTGTCTCCTCTGGTGCGGAGAGTGCCTGGCTCGGGAGGCTCTATTTTTAGGCAGCCCACGGCCGGCTGAGTGAGGTCTGAAGCCACCAGCGCCGGGCGGGCAGCGCAAACACCCAGCCGAGCGGCCGGGGCAGGCGCCGTCCTCACGGGCCACCTGGACACAGGTGCATCTGGGACTGAGGGCTCCTGGGGTCCAGGGGAGTGAGGAATGAGGAGCATTCAGCGGAGGAGAGAGATCGTGTTGGATGACCTCATCCTGCTGCCAACCTTTAGCCTCCGAAGAGAAAGCTGACGTCTGCTCGTATTTGCAATCATTTTTCCTCTTTCCTGCAAAACGGCCCCTTCTGCTGGGAGAGCACTTGGCAGGCGGCCCCGCGTGGGCTTGCCAAGGCCTGGCTTCATCCCCGAGGGTGCTTCTGTGCGCCCGCCGAGGGGCAGCGAGGGAGTGGCCCCTGCCAGTGCCTCCCCGAGGGTGGCCGGTGGACTCGGGGTGCCTCTCTCGGGGGATGGACGCCAGAGACCTGGGCTCCCGGTGCAGCTCTACAACCCTCCCCCTCCCCGGGAAGCAGCAGGCAGCTGGCCCGCGTCCAGCCGTGCAAAGGGCTCCTGGGGAAGTCACCACGGGCTTGCCCCTGTAGATAAGCGGAGCGTGGTCATGCCCACTGCACACATAGGCGCTGGCACGGAATGGGGGGTGGGTAGCAGGAACAGGAACAGGAAAGAGGGGGCCAGCTCCGGGGCAGCAGAGCCTGGGTCTTCTGGCCGGGGCTGGGGGTCAGGCAGAGACGCGCACCCGACAACGATGGCATTGCCCGGGCCAAGCAGCTCTGTGGGTTGTGACTGCAGTCACGCGTGCGGTGGGAAGTGCAGTAGAATTCACGCTCTGAGTGATCATCCCGGTTTTTTAAGTGCATTTGCTTGCAGGCAGACCCTCTGCATGGCCCGTAAGAAGCGAGTTGTGACACTTGTCATGCTGCCACTCGCACGCAGGGCCCTGATGCTGACGACAGGTGCGTGCGTGGTGAAGACAGTCGGTCACCTGCACACCTTCCCAGCGCTGCCCTGTCTCAGAGGTCAACCGTCTGCCACAACTCACCAGTAACCCTTGCTGCAGTGCGCTGGAGGCACGGCCCTTCTCGTCCAGGTGGGCACGCTCCCCAAACCTCCCTCCCCACTCTGCTCCAAAGCAGGGACCAGGTCACAGTTTCAGCTCGCACACCTGGGTCCAGGTGTTCTTAAAGGAAAGACAATGATCAGTCAATCCACATCGAACATCGAGTAGTTAAGATATGGGGCTAATGAATCAGGGGGCATTATTCTCACCTATTCACAATTGTGCATCTCGTCTTCATTTAGAGTCCCTGTGGGGAAAAATCTACCACGACTGTACCTAGGAAATCGACGCCTTGGGCCATATTTTCATTCAGCAGAATGCAGAACTTTCTTATCTAGTCACCTGTCCGAGGTCGAGAAAACATGCTCCACCCTGCTGCAGCTCAGCGTCAGCAGTATTGATTCTATTACTCATACTTTATAAATGAGAATGCTATTCTTACGGAATGCAAACATTTGCTTTGTTGTGCTATTGTCTCGGCCGGGCACAAACCTCTCAGTCTTGATATATGTCCATCGATTAATGCTCTTGTCATTGTTTCGCGACAGGAGGCATTTCATGATGATTTACAGGGTTACCTGTTGTCGGACCGTAAACTTCTGTTTGCAATCAGGAAAAAGTTAAATGCAAACTTCAACTTGAAAATGACTCTCGGGTTGAGCGTGTTGATAAAACTAGCCGAGGGCACCACCTGCCCTTCCAGAGGCCACGGGGCGGGGGGGGGGGGAGGTGACCTGGGGGGTTCCCGGCAGGCGGGGGCGGGCGGTCCTGCCCCCGAGGGCTGACCCAGGTCTGGAGCGCTTCGCCTCACCCATGTCTGGACGGCGCCGCCCTCGAGCCCGGGCGCCCTTCCTAGTCAGCCACGCGGCCACACTGCCCAGAGCCTGAGCGGCCTGCAGCCCGGTTGGCCGCCCCGCCCCAACCCCTTGAGCCGTGGAAACGTGGCTTTTCCCAATTCCAAGCACAAGGACTCTTCACGCCGCTGCTGTCTCCCCTCTCGGGGCTTGCACAAGTCCCTGCACTTAGTGCACACGGGAAAACCCACAGGGAAATGAGCCGCGGCCTCAGACCAGGCTGCAGGATTCTGGCTCAGACGCTGTGCACGGGGTCACCGGTGTGTCCCTTCCGGGTGCCTTTGCCATGTGCGTGAGACGCTGCTCTGGGTGTGGGCTAGGGGCCCCTCACCGGCCGTGATCTATCTGGGGGTGGCGTCTGTCGGTGGAGGGGTGTCCTCCTTCCGCTCTGGGTGCAGAGCCCGGAACCTTCCCCACAGACCTGGCCTTCTCGGCTGGTGGAGGCCGCCCCGGGCTTGCTGGTCTCTGCAGTGTGGCGCTCACGAGGCCGGCTCACCTGACACTCACCTTCCCGTTCCCACGGCGACACGCTTTACGTTCGTACCCCGGGGGCCTTTCTGGGGACAGAACGCAGCCGTCAGAAGCCTTTCAGGGTGAACAGCCCGGAACAACCTGTTCTAGAAGTGTCTAGGCTTTTCCATAAACGTGAACTCTCCCGTCCCTGGGGAGGGCGATGTGGCCGGTCTCAGTTCCAGCCCCACCAAGAGCAGGGCCTGAGATGAGGATCTGGGGAAGGTATTCACCGGGGAGGTGACCCCAGAAGTCGGGCGGGACGGGGAAAGCTGCTGAGGGGGGTCCCTGGGTTCCCGTTGAAGGCGGGGGTGGGGTGGTGGCTCTCCTCTGAGAAGCACGGGGATGGTTCCAGGACTGAAGGGAGAGCAGCGTCTGCCCACAGCTGCCGCCCCCAGGTGGGGGGTGCTCCCGGGCCGTCAGGCCCCTACTTTCCCGCTTGCTGCCGGCCCAGGGCAGAGAGGTGCCAGGCAGGTGCAGGGGAGACGGCTGGGGCCCGAGCTTCCACACACCTGCGATGGGCCACAGGTGCTCAGGGAGCAGCCTTGGGGCCCAGCCGTGTGCTCCCCTGCCCTGGCGGGTGCTATTTTAGAAATTAGGCAGCACTCAGCTCTTCCATGCAGAGAAGCGGGTATTTAGAAGCTGCCGGCTCGTGTTACTTCTCCCCTCCAGCACCAGATGCCGCCGAGAGACGCCGAAGGAGGGGACAAGGGACAAACCCAGAGCAGAGAGCGGATCGCAGGGTGGCAGGAGGTGAGAAGTTCCAGCAGATTTTCCTCGAGACCTGCAGTGGACGGGAGCTCGGCTGAGATCCGGGGGGCAGCGGGCTGAGTGGGCACCGAGGCTGGAGACAGGGTTGGGTTGTCAGCTTGTCTCGGGAACACTCGTGAGTCTCGCCCATCCCTGTGTGCCGTCCGTCCATCCACCCTGCACGCTGTCCCGTCCCGGGCGGGGCACAGGCAGCCGGCTTGCGAGGGTAGGAATTTTACCATAGACATTTACTAAGGATGCCTTCCTCAGTCTGGCATGTTGGGGGCCCAGCTTAACAGTGAGGCCACCAGTAGGTCCTGGACGTGTGTGCAGAGTGCCCAGGGGACCCCCCCACCCCGGGGGAGAAGCTACAGGAAGCAGACCTGCGCAGGGGACCCGCCAGGCTTCCAGAACATTCACTGCACAGGAGCAGCAGATAGGCGAGGAATCCAGCAGCACAAAATAAGAACCACTCACCCTAGAGGAGAAAGAAATAGCTCAGGGGTCATACGTTAATTTCAAAACAAATCCTGACATATCCTTTAAGCAGGTTTTGTGTTTAAAAACAAGAAAAGGTATTATGAAACCACGAGAAAGAGTGTTCAGAAATAAAAACACAAGGAGTATAAACAAAGAGGAGTGGAGAGGTAAGTTGAGAAAATTTTCGGAACACAAAGAAAATAGAAACTATGAGAAAACAACAAAATACATCAAGGATTAATTCGGAAAGTTGAAAAAAAAAAAAACCAGACTGAAATATTTCCTGAGAGAGCAAAGAAAAGGGAGAAGAAAATTATCGAAGAAACAACAGAGGAAGACTTCAAGACCTGAAAAGAGACACATGTTTTCAAAATAACAGAAATTGAAGGAGCGTCCATCATGATACATGGAAAAAGACCTACATATGTTGGTGAAATTTCAGAAAACAAGGGATAAAGAGAGACACCTGGGAACTTGCAAGAAGGTAAAAACAAGCCACCTGCAAGGGACGGGAATCCGGCTAACATCCGTGTTTCCATTCACGACCGCGTCAACGCCAAGTGTGATTCGGGCGTAAGGGCAAGGCGAACACATTTTGTCTCTGATGCACCTTTTCTGAAACCGTTACTGAGGATACATTCCAGAAGGTCAACGAGGATAAGGCAAGGGAAACAGGAAACTGGCCCTAGGAGTTCTAGAGTGACGTGACGCTGCCGTCTTGCAAGGAGACAGAGCCCAGTCGGCACAACAAGTCAGCCGGATTTACGAAGATCTTATACGATGAAACTGGATCATGTCACAGACTGAAAAGGAATCTGGAAGATAGTGGTGGTGTGAGAAAGAAGAAATACTTGTTCTCTAAAATAGAAAGAAAGGTCTGTCAGTAAGAGAGCTTTGGGCTGCAAGTAATGGATAATCTGCCAAAAGCGGCTTACGCGTTAGTGCATTTATTGTTTACTTAGTAGGAACTTCTGTTTACTTCACCGATATGGGTCAAAGATGCCATCAAGGACCTGGGCCGGCTCCAGCCCTCTGTTCTGCCACCCTCAGCGGGAGAACACGGTTCTCCGGCTTGTCGCCGCAGGGCTGGGAGGTGGCTGTCGTAATTCCAGGCACGGTGTGTGTTCACGCTGTGTCCAGCGGCAGGGAGAGGAGCAATGGGGGAGTAGGGGGTGAAGAGGGCCTTTCCTTCTGCCGTGGAGGAATAACTTCCGGAACTCTCCGATAGACCTCTCCCTCTGTCTTTCTGGCTGCTGGTGGCTCCTTTGCCCACCTCTTGCTGTGGGGTAGGATGAGAAAGTCAGTGTCTAGCTAGCGGAAGCAGAGTGGCTACTGGTTTCAGCCCGTGTTTCTCAGTTGGGTGGAACTTATAAAAGAAATGGATGACAAGGTCCTAGCCGGGGGGTACCGGTCCAGCTGGCACGAGGTGGCACCTGGGCATTGGTGGATTTAAAAACTTCCTGGGTAATTCTAATCACCAGGTTTGAGAGCCGCTGACGTGGATTAGTCATGAGTCGTCTTCTGAGTTTGGGATGTTGTCACTAAGTGAAACCTCAGTTCTGTTTCACCGGGAGAAGTGGCGTAGCCGTTGGGCAGGCCTAAGAACGATGTCTAGGAAAAGCACAGAACTTTACAGGAAAGCCATGTGCTGGGTGGGAAGACAATGCTGAGACAGGGGCGAGCACAGAAGAGAGACTCTCTTTGACTTTGATGCTGGGAACACCGTGCCTTGAATGGCAGAAGGTCTTAACCTTCCACCTAGAGAGAATAAAATTTTACCGTGCTCCTCGCCCGGAATGGAACGATCTTTGTGCAGTCATGGTAACATAAATGCACTCATTGTTTTAAAAAATTTTAGTTTTCTCTTAGACTCAACCTAGGGATAAAGCCCAGAAGACTTGGTTATGGCTCCAAGACAGAATGTCAATTCATTATTCCCGACAACGTTAACAATAAAATGATAACAGTTAAAAGTGGAGAGAGGGGAGAGAGCAAAGAGGGGAGGGAAGGCTGATTTGCTGCCACCCTGATTTCCATAGTGGAAAGGCAAGCGATGCCTTTAGAGTTGGTGGAAGAAATAAAGATTATCGTCTAAATTTACGAAGGTTAAGAAATAGAAAAACTGAAAATAAGGACATAGCTATCATCATCTATTGTTTAGTGGGCAGCAAGAGGCAGTGTAAGTGAGGAGATCTTCATTTTCCAAATATGCATGCAACTGATCATTCCTAAGGCTGAGGCATTAAAGACATAGAGGTTGTACCAGTCAGGATAGACAAGGTTATGCTGCGTAACAAACGCCCTTAAAAGTCCTAGCGACACAATGGAACTTATTTAGTAACACGGTAAGACTTATTTCTTTTTTTTTTTTTTTTGAGACAGAGTCTCGCTTTCTTGCCTAGGCTAGAGTGAGTGCTGTGGCGTCAGCCTAGCTCACAGCAACCTCAAACTCCTGGGCTCAAGCAATCCTCCTGCCTCAGCCTCCCGAGTAGCTGGGACTACAGGCACGAGCCACCATGCCCGGCTGATTTTTTTTATATTATATATATTAGTTGGCCAATTAATTTCTATTTTTATGGTAGAGACGGGGTCTCGCTCAGGCTGGTTTTGAACTCCTGACCTTGAGCAATCCGCCCGCCTCGGCCTCCCAGAGTGCTAGGATTACAGGCGTGAGCCACCGCGCCCGGCCGGTAAGACTTATTTCGAGCTCTTGTTCACTGCAGGGCAGTGGCCCTGAGCCCGGGGTTGAGGGCGGTGGCAGGCAGGCAC